CACAAGAATTTGCATGTGGTTGAACAAAGAACTCTGCTTCTCCCAATATGTTTTTGTTCAGAGATGAGTGGAAGCAGACAGCCTGAAGAAGCAAGAAGCAGCAAGTTCTAAAGTGACTTCTGTCTCTCTCCTTCCAGGTTTTATGGGATCATCCTTGCCCTTTGGGGAAGCAGGGCAGATTCCACTTGTGACACCCTATTCAGAGGATGGCAAGTGATCAGGTTGTGGACTCCAGAATTTCCTCCTTATATCAGTAAATATAACAATCTGATCCTAAGGCTGAGTTAAACTGAAGTAAAAAGAGCACCTGCCTTGAACTCTACTGTGATGGATGAGCTGAAAAAGCATTGAACCACAGACGTCAAGATGGATTATCAGACACAAACATTCCAGAGCCAGGTAGGGAAGCCACCATCCCTCAAATCTTACAAACAGCAAAATTTGCCACTGTGTCCCTGACACACTGGGTGAGTTGCTATACATTCCTGATGTGAGGCAGCCCTCTCCAAATAGGCAGATTTATTAAATCAAATGAAAAGCAAAAATGGGGCCTCCCTGGCGGCGCAGGCGGTTGAGCACTGCACTGTGAAGCTGTCCGCAGCCTCTGCAGCGCGGGTTCGATCCCAGCCAGCCGGCGAGAATCCCACATGGCACAGCAGACCTCTCCTGTCTCACCCGCTGCTCCCCTCAGCAGTGTATTTCGTCAGCCTGCCTGTTCTGTTCCCCGCTCTGTCTCTGGTGAATCTTCTCACCCTCCTGCGCATCTGGCCTGTACCCCGGTTCTTGTATAAATAAATAAATCTTAAAAAAAGAAAGAAAGAAAGAAAGAAAGAAAGAAAGAAAGAAAGAAAGAAAGAAAGAAAGAAAGAAAGAAAGAAAGAAAGAAAGAAAGAAAGAAAGAAAGAAAGAAAGAAAGAAAGAAAGAAAGAAAGAAAGAAAGAAAGAAAGAAAGAAAGAAAGAAAGAAAGAAAGAAAGAAAGAAAGAAAGAAAAGCAAAAATGGTGCTTCTTGAAATGTTGGACGTAAGGAACATTGATAAGATAGCGTATAAATATGCTTTTAGTGTCTCTCTCTCTCCCCTGCCCCATTTTATACTTTATTCTAGAATTTAAGTTTGTTAGGGGGTAATATGAAGCATCTTCAGTGATGAATTTCTTAAAATGCTCTAACAAAATCGTATTTCCATCACTCATACATTAAATTCAAGAACCTCTCTGACCATTTTACTGGCACTGCCTTTTCTTATCAAGGTAGATCAGAGACATCCTTTGGACAGATGCTTCTGAGACATCCTTTGCCATCAAATAAAGAACCATACACATGTTAAGGATCTCAGCACTTCTCAGTGATTCATTTTATATTACAAGAAATGTCACAAACACCACTGCTATCAATCACTACTCTGTGTGATAGTTTTTGCCACAATGGATCGTACAATAATCATTTTTTTAAAGATTTATTTATTTTTATACAAGAACCGGGGTACAGGCCAGATGTGTGGGAGGGTGAGAGGATTCACCAGAGACAGAGTGGGGAACAGAACAGGCAGGCTGACGAAATACACTGCTGAGGGGAGCAGCGGGTGAGACAGGAGAGGTCTGCTGTACCATGTGGGATTCTTGCCGGTCAGCAGGGATGGAACCTGCGCTGCAGAGGCTGCGGACCACTTCACAGTGCGGCGCTCAACTGCCTGCACCATCAGGGAGGCCCCTGATAATCATTTTTTATTAGAAGCAAATCCTGCTTCATAGTTGTCATTCAGTTGTTCTCTTCATACTCAATCTCCAAATTATCTAGGAACATGCATCCTTTTTACAGTCTTGTCATCTTTTCATTCCCATCTCCAATATTTGTCAGAGTACATCCTATACAGAATTAGGAAAACTCCTATCTCTTTTGCATTCTTAAAGATAATAGAAAAGTATTCAAGAAAACTCCTGCATGTATGTATGTGTATACATCTAGTATGTGTATATGTGTGTGTGTGTGTGTAGAGAAAATCACTTTTTATCCTCTTTAGGATCTATGTTTACTATACCCTGGATCAGCCATTTTGCACATTTAATTCCCACTGCCACTTTTTCTCTTCTCACTTCCTTCAACTTGAGTCCTTCTTTCCTCATCCTCTGGTGAGATCCACTGCTGATTTTGCTATTCAAGGAAATTAGCAAAATTCCCAGTGACAGAATCAAAAACCCTACTCCCAATCTTCAGAATTACAATTACAACTTCTTTAGTAAAACTTGTTGTAGTAGTTATGTTATAGGACAGGGAGAGGGGCACCCCAGATCCCCACAAACCTGCCTATTCTAAATGGGTTCTGCCATCCGCCGCATCAACACAAAACATATGACACTTTAATGGGAAGGAACTTTAATAAAAACTAGAAAACAATACAGGTAAGGCAAAGAGTCTAGTTTCTAAATGAAGCACCCAAAGTTACCCGTCCCCTCGTGGGTAAAACTCCATCCATATGGGGTCGGCCCAGAGCAAGGCCCCAAAGCCTGCCACAAGTCTAAAACATCTTCCAGTGGGGACCCACAGAAAAGGGTCACAAACAACCAGACAAGCCCGGAAGGAAAAGAGCAAAATCAACATCAAGATAAAAGCTGCCATTGTCACCTCCCCACGGGTCTCACCCACATCTGTGTCACCTAGTCCACGACCAAAAGACAAGCGCAGTTTCTTCACGTGTCTCTAGGCTCCATGTGCCTCCTCCAGGTCTCCTTGCTCCATCCTGCTTCCTTCCTCCGTCTCTTCCTGCAGCTTCTCCTCTTCCTGCTCAGCTCCACCCTCCCTTGGGTGGGGCAGGGAACCTCCCCCTTTCCTGGAGACCACCCTGTTACAGTTACTCCTTGGTCTATTATGATTTATCAACTCTGATCAATTGTTGATTTTTATTATCCAATTTTGGACTTTAACTGTTTCATTCATTCTGCAAATAATTGTTGAGCATTTGTCAGGTGAAGATACTTGTCAGGGTCTTCCAAATACAAGTCAATTATACACCAAACAATTTATAATCCAGGAAGGTAGGAAGAAACTAACAGCAGAGAAGTGCAATTTGCTGAATTAGACTTAATGACCTGCTTCTGTCTGCAGCAAAGCCAGGTCACTTGCTTAGGAATAATCTAAGTGGTTTCTCTTGTTGTTTTGAAAGACAATTAGTTGTTCACAAGCTAATATTGGCACACAAAGATGTTTTTAAGCAAAGGGAGTGTTTTGCAAAAAGCTGGAGGTCATAGAAAAATAAGAAGAGGTTTAGGACGGTGGGAGCTGAGGTGGGGATGGAAAGTTAAGAGGCAAATAAAGGTTGCAATAAGTAAAGTTAGACTCAAAATAAAATGAGATCTTCCATGTCCTTGATGGGTTACCATTGAAACACCATGGAACCCTATGATTCCCTGGCAGCTCCAAAGACGGCATGTAGCTGGGACAACTCAATAAGACATGATGGGTTCTACCTCTCCTATGAGAACAGACATTCAAGCTAGTGAAGTTCACTTTTCTACTCTTACTGATTTTTGTTTGACATGTCATCTTTAGCTTGACTCCAAAATACATTTCAAAATAAGACCCTGCTCTTGACTTGATGCATATTTACTTAACCTCTTTTGAAACAACTCAGTGACATAGGAAGATACCCTTTAATGATTCTTAACTGATGCTAAAGAGTTCCATAATAGCATCGAATGAGGTTTATTGTGTGTAAAAGACTCCAGTTCCAGGAGAACAAGGAGGCGTATTTTTTTTTAACTTGCTTGTCTTTCTTTATAGTTAACATTCAACCTATTTGCAAAAACAAATTTTAAATAAACAGTCTAGATGTGGTAGCATGCAAAGGAAAAGGATCAGGCCATAGAGACAAAAATATCATTTTCTATGATTTTAGATCTCACCTTGAAAGCAAACATTTTCTATCAGAGAAGCTCCAGAGCCTCCACACCTGCTTGAATAGCAGCTGCCCAGGGCCCTGTTCCCCTGGGTGAGAAGGTTTTTGTACAGTGAGACAATGGAGAGCTACCACTGTGGTGGACGTTCGGAGGAGGCACCAAGGTGGAACTCAAACGTGAGTAGAATCCAAACTCTCTTTCCTCACTTTTCTGTGTTTTGTGATCCCTGTGTCAATGAAGTGATCTAAAAACTAACTTTTGCAGCCCTTGGCTTCCTTCCAGGCAAAGGTAATCTGTAAACAAAGGTGAGAAACAGGTTACACTTGTTGTGATTTCACTTATTCAGTCCCGGTATTTGGTGAAAATAACTGTATAAGTGGTAATTTCAGAAATTTACTAGGGAGCCTAGTTATATGTTCTGACAGAGCCTTGAATTGTCAGGAAGGGAAACTCAGTTTTTGTTGAGAGGGTTGGTTTAGGGGAACTACTGTGGTACACGTTCGGTGCCGGGACCAAGGTGGAGCTCAAACGTAAGTGCTGTTTTCAGCTGATTCTGTGCTGTTTCTAATTGATTTGCTTTTTATTCCTTTGTGTGTGTTTCCATTACTCAGAAGTTAGGGATTAAATGAATTTCATTCCCAGACTAGCTCCAGAGGAGGGAAAGTTGCCCCACAGGAGACTAGCCGATGGTCCATTTTTAAGATTTCCAAATCATAATGACTTAATTGGGGGAAGGGGTGGCTGAGCTTTCAGAGCAGGTTTTTGTAAGAGTGTAAGTAGAGGGAAATCACTGTGGTTCACTTTCGGTGGAGGGACCAAAGTGGAGCTCAAACGTGAGTACCGTTTTGCTCAATTATTTGTGAGTTTTTATCCTGTTGAATTATTTATGCCAGTTTGTGACATTTTAGTTAAATGGGCCATTTCTGGTAAGTCAAATACAAAGAGCAGAAAACAGCCAATTTTAAGATGAGCAAACCAACCAATTGTTGAGTTTGTGAGGAGAGTAGGATTTGTGAGAAAAATAGCTGACTCTTGCCCTGAAGTAGACTTTCTCAGACAATTGGCTTCAGAAGGTTTTTGTTGAGGGGCCGGTGAGTGAGCCCTCACTGTGGCTCACGTTCGGCGCCGGGACCAAGGTGGAGCTGAAACGTAAGTGCCCTTTTCTGCTCCTTTTTTCTCATAAAGTCGCAAAATGGGGGATTTCATGATTAGGACATGAACTGAGGTGAATTAGGAGAAAACGGGGTTCTTCCGAAATTCAGATGATCTGGGGACTGAAAATCAGTTTGTCTCAGGGAAGAGCAAAGAGCTAATGAGTTGACGTGGCAGCTAAACTGCCAGATTTTCTGGTATCCTCAGTCTACAGAAGTTAGCAGCAAAGGGAGGTTTTTAATTGAGGGGAAAGAGAGAAATTAAGCTAATGCTGTGGATCACCTTTGACCAATGGACATGTCTGGAGGTTAAATGTAAGTGATATTTCTCTATTGCCTTCTGAAATTTGGGGCCAAATGTCAATACAGTATTGATTTTTAAAGGCTGAAATATGTGTTTTGTGGAAGGGATAAATGAGACACCTTTTAGATGTATCATCAGTTCCAAAAATTAAACTCAGCTCCTAAAATTGACTTGTAGGCAAAAAGGTTAATTTAATCTGAAAAGAGTAGCTCAAGGGGAAAAAATTAATGTAGATGAAAAAGGAAGACTTGTAGCTCTAAAAAGAAAAATTGAATTAATTTTTTCATTCAGTTTTGCCAAATACAATATTGATTTTTGCTCATTGTGTTTGATACAGAAAAGTAGAGAAACGTATTTATTTCCTAATCTGTTTTCTCTCTTCTGTCCAATAAATTATTTTATAAGATAGTAAAAATCAATAACACATATTAAAAAATCAGTTACAAGTTAGAAAAGTTGATTTTTTTGCCATGGGAAAGATGCGGCTTAATTGAGAATCAGCAGCAATTTCATTTTTAAACTCTAAAATGAGTGATATACTGTCCATAGTCCAAAACTATGGATATTGTACATCTTGACAGCTTCAATTTTTGTATTAGACTAAACTTGAAATGACTGATAATGGAGGAAAGATGGTGAGCCCCCAAAGCTCAGTTTTGAAGAACTTTGTTTAAGTGACGGGAAATAAAATAATTGCATTTTTAAGTGCCCACAAACTTGTAGAAAAATAAGAAATATTTTAATGAGTATATTCTTTTCTTTCCCTTAGTTGTTATTTGGCCTTAATTTTAGACTGCCAAGAAGGTCATGCCACAGTTAGCGAGTTCTGTGGCCCTCATGGGTGTCTTCTTGCGGGCTGACTGATTTTCGTGGCCGTGGCACTCTTGTGACTGAGTAATTTTTGTGGCCATGGCGCTCTCGTGGCAGTTGGCCTGGCCGCTAAAGGCCCTGGCGACTCTCTGAGAGTCCATTTAGTGCTGCTGCTGCCCACTTTCCTGACACAGTGGTACAGACAATGTCACAAACGGAATAGGATAGAAATGTGATGGGCACTGAGTTAACATTAGAAAAGCAGGGAGAAGCTGATTTATTAGAGATTTCAGAAATAAAATTCATATTATTATGTCCTCTTAATGAAAATTTCCATTAGGGCACCATAAAGAACTTAAAGCTATTTTTTCAGTGATAAGAGATTTTACCATATTCTCTCATCAAATCTATTTAAATAATAAAGACTCAACCTCAAAGAAAGAAATAGGTATAAATCTTTTAGGGTAAAATCTGCATCAGCAAAAATTTAATGTAAGGTCAGTAATCTGGCTACTCAGGTTTTACTTAATTAATTTTTATGTAATTTACAGTAACTACCATGTGGGTATATTAACTGATTTTTTTTTAATAAAGGTAAGATAAATTTGTGACATGTTTTTAATTTTCAAGAAGTTAATGGCTTGAGTAAGACTACATTGGAACTGTTTTAAAACTAAACTAAATATTTTAAACTATTTCAAAGCTATGTGGAAGGCCTTTTAAAAAGTTGTCTATGTCTATGATTTTAAACTCCATTAAAAGTTAATAAGATGTCTTTCAAGAATTTCCATATCCAATATACTAATTATTTAATACCTTAATTCAGGATGGAAAATTTTTAACTAGCAAGGATTTCCCCAGATAGGAATATCCTCATAGAATAGTTACCCTCCATTTTTTCTCGAATTCACATTATTTTACTACCAAATCTATTTCATAAAGTCTCTGAAAAAATTAGTAATGAAGTTAAAAGAAAAAAATATTAAAATACAAAATGTTTAGTATCTTATGTTAAACTGTTTGGTTAACATGGAGCGTCAATATAGAAAAACCTATTCATTTATCTGCTGAAAAAAACCTATTCATTTATTTTTGTTCCAGCAAAAGATTTTTGATTCGTTATTTTAACTCTTGGGCATCCACCCCAGGGCTTGAATGCCCATAGAGGGGGATTTCCAGAAGCCCATCTGGCAGCTGCTCATGGTCAGAAATGAAGCTAGCTAGTTCCTCCTAGGCAGGTGGCCAAAACTACAGTTGACCCCTCCTGGGCTAGCTGAACCCAGACCCGTGTGGTGACAGCCATCAGGTCCCAGGTTCCCTCTGAGACCTTTGTGGGGTAAGGGGAGAGTGAAGGAAGATTCCAAGTCTGATCATGAAGGGTAAAAGAACACTTCAAAATTCCAAGGTAATAAGACAAAATGGCCTTTGTTTTTTGGTCAGAAGCACTGTGTTTCCTGTAGGGACTGCGAACACAGTTGAAGGAAAGTTTACGTCAAAAAAGCATATAAAAAGGGGCCTTAGAATGGCTGCAGCATTTAGACAAAACAATTTCAGACTCTCTTAAAGGGTATGGGACTCAAGGGAAAAACTCAAAATCGAAATTATAAATATGCTTCCTCCCTGCCTTCTTGCTGCCTTTACACAGAATAAGGACACGGCCATCTGCATGTCTGTCCTGAAGAGCCCTGGGGTTGCTCACAGACTGCACTCCCCTGGAGTATATCCATGTTACTTAAACTCTACTCTCCATGCTTCCTTTCACAGGAGATGTGGCTAAGCCTTCCGCCTTCATCTTCCAACCATCTGAGGAGCAGTTAAGTACCGGAAGTGTCTCTCTAGTGTGCCTGGTGAATAACTTCTACCCGAGAGACATCAAAGTCAAGTGGAAAGTGGATGGTGTTGAACAAGCCAATGGCTCCGACCTCAGTTTCACAGAGCAGGACAGCAAGGACAGCACCTACAGTCTCAGCAGCACCCTGACGATACCCAGTACAGATTACCGAAATCATAACATCTACACCTGTGAGGTCGACCACAAGAGCCTGACCTCCCCGCTCATCAAGAGCTTCAACAGGAATGAGTGTTAGAGGAGAGGCCTATCAGGCCCCATCACCCCACCACAGTCCCAATCTCCCCGACTCAAGTTTCTGGCCCTTTGCCTACCTTATCCCACCCCATGGCAGTCTCCCGCCCCCTCTCTCCACTTTTTCCCCCTCCCCCTCTTTGGCTGTAATCATGCTAATATGGGGGGGGCAAAAATGAATAAAGTGAATCTTTGCACCTGTGACTTCTCTCTCCTTCTTGCTATAATGGTTATTATACAGTAAGTCCTCAACTTAACACATGGATAAGTCTTGGAAACTGATAGTTGAAACAAAATGTTATATTTAAAAATAATTTTATCACAGGCTGATTGATATAAACAAGAGTTAAATTTCTGGTCACAAAAACATTACCAAACTTCTTAGATAAAGAGCCCAAACACTTCTACTACTAAACAACCACTACTGAACAATCACTCATTTCTTTCCAATCCGCTCATTCTGGGTAACAGCTTCAAAGTAATAGCTAAACCTTCCTGCAGCTTGGGGGGCAAGCAGGACCCCACCCTGGATAGGATGCCCTTCCATCACAGGGTATAGGCACACACCCCCACACTCACTGGGACTGGGACAGTTGAGACAGACTGTGAACCTCACATGCACATCTTTGGGATGTGGGAAACGCAAGTCCCCGGACAAAACCCAATAGACATAAAGAGAACCTGCAAACTCCACCCAGACAGTGGACTTGGGCAGCAATTCAATTTTTCCACTCAGCATTATAGCAAAACAATGTTGAATGAAGTGACTCTATTCAAGGACCTGTTATATGTTGGTTTCCCAATTACTCAGTTTATCTTCTAAGAAACTATATTGCATTGCTATAAAATACAACAGCATTAAAATAAATAAATAAAATGCGACGTCATTCCTAAAGATAATTATCCTCCATTCTATCTACCCTACTGACCTCTTCAAGATACTCCATGAATCCATGAGCCACCCATCTTCACACCCCACCCCAAGGGGGAAGAGACTTGCTCCTGTTGTCCCCTCTCAGCAGACCTTAGAGTCCTTCGAAGGGGGATAGTTCTTACAATCACATATCCTTTCATCTAGTCAAACCTGAGAATTTACTGAAAGCAAATTTTAAAAAAATGCAAGCAATATCATGTCATTCATTGCAACATTATAAAAAATAACAAAACAACAAAAACAATCTAAATGAATAAGCAATAGGCAAATGTTTAGTTCCTATGGACTCCAGCTTGATAGGAGGGTATTGATTCATCACTTTAAATTCCTTTCTGACAAAGACCACACCGAGTGCTTTCCACCGCCATATTTAATTCTCATCACACTGTTTAGGCTAAAAATGTTTATCAAAATGTCGGGCCAGGTCATGAAAATGTTAGGCAGCTTCTATAAAGCTGAACTATGTTAAGTTTCAATGACACAGCAATCCCAGGTCTCTGTTTGCCAAAAAAAAAAAAAAAAAAAAAAAAACTTATGCAAGAATTTTCAGAGCTGTTTCATTTATAAAAGTCAAAAGTTGGGGGCCTCCCGGGTGCCGCAAGGGATTAAGATGCAACCTATGAAGCTGCCCACGGCCACTCTAGCATGAGTTGATCCCCGGCCAGGGAGCTACACACATGGTGCAGCAGGCCTCTCCTGACTCGCCCGCTGCTCCCCTCAGCAGTGTATTTCAGTCAATCCACCTGTTCTGTTCCCCACTCTGTCTCTGGTGAATCCTCCCACCACCACAACTCTGGCCTGTATCACAGTTCTTGTAGCATAAATAAATCTTTAAAAAAATAAAAATTTAAAAAAATAAGTCAAAAGCTGGAAATAACCCAGATGTCCAACAACAGTAGGATGGATCATCAAGGTATAGTAAATATATAAATATATACTGTATATATATATATAAATATATAAATATATATATATACAGTATATATAAATATATACTGTAACTGGAAGCCATTCCCTAAGAAAAATGTATGAACTGCCACCTATACCTGAGAAGTTACCTAAATCTTGACAATAAGCAAAAGAAAACAAACACAGAAGAAATGTTCTATATATTTTCATCTATATAAAGTTCAACACCAGGTACAAATAAAACTAGAAATAGGGATGGGAGCTACTTTTGACTGGGGGTGGAATGAAGTACTGTCTGGGAAGAGATAAGAAGGGGTTTTGGTGGGTTAGGTAATAAAATAATGTGCCATTTTGTGAAAAAAAAATTTTTAAAAGATTTATGCATACAAGAACTGGGGTACAGGCCAGAGGTGTGTGGGGTGGGAGTGAGAGGATTCACCAGAGACAGACAGGCGGATTGACTGAAATACACTGCTGAGGGCGTCAGCAGGCGAGTCAGGAGAGGTCTGCTGAGCCATGTGAGTCACCTCCCTGGCCGGGTATTGAACTCTTACTGCATTTGCTGTGAATAGCTTCATCGGTTGCATCTTAACCCCTTGCACCACAGGGAATGAAAATTAATTGAGCCAGGGCCTCCCCGGTGGCGCAGCAGTTGAGAGCTGGGTTGCGAAGCTGCCCGCAGCCTCTGCAGCACCAGTTCGATCCCCGGCTGCTCCCCGGCCACCAGAGGAGGGTCCCACATGGTGCGCAGACCTCTCCTGCCGCCCATGTGTAAACAAACAAATAAATAAATAATACATGCCTCTTTAAAAAAAAAAAAAAAGAAAATTAATTGAGCCATACAATTATTATCTATATACTGCTTTTTTTTTTTCTTTTTGGTAAATATAGGTTCTTCTTCAAAAGTAGCCCAGGATCAAATCCCTACTTGCCTAGTGTCTTTCTGCTTTCCAGTGCTTACAGTGCTGCATAGAACAGAGGGTCAAACAGGCCACCTTGCCAGGGATTCCTCCCCTATCTGGCTAATCAGAAACATAGAAAGAAATGCAATGCAATGCAATGGACTTGAGCAAGGCAACAAGGGACAGAATTAATCTAGTCCGGTTATTGTGATTCCACGTACAAGAGGTTATACATTGGGAGTGGAGGTACATATAGAATCAACTGTGACTCCCCCCAACAACCCCCACTTTTGTGTGGGCACCCAATCCTTCACTCCCACCTACCCATGCATCCAAAAAACATTTACTGAACACATTTCTCAGTCTGCACTCTGAATGAGGTACAGAAGTAATTAAGACTATGTCCTTCTCCTCAATAAATTTATAATCAAGTTTTCCTACAGTACAAAAGCAGTGGGAAAGGATAATCATGGAAAAAATGGGTGAGGGAAAAATGTCAGCATTCTGCCTGCTAAGAACATTCATTATTATTAAATCTTTGAAACTTAATTCAGTAGCATTCAGGAAGACTATTCAAACAGCCCTTCAAATGACATCAAGTTGTTCACTCATCCCTAGGGACAAAATTCAACAATCAAGGGCACTTCCAGTGGGGGCTATAAATCCAAGGTAAGTCTTTCTCTTAAAACTCAGAAGCCAGAACCCACGTGATCTGAGGAAGTAAAGACAGGTATTATGGGTTAAATTGGGTCCTTTAAAAAGATATACTCAAGTGCCAACTCCCACTACCCTTAAATGTGCTCTTATTTTGGAATAGGGCTGTTGCAGATATAACCAAGATGTGGTCATATTGAAATGCTTGTGAAGATGCAGTGAAACTGGATCATTCTTTTATGGCTGATGGGCATGTACAATGGAAAATAGCTTGTCACTTTCTTGAAAAAAATTAACAAAGCACAATAATCCTATGACACAGCAATTGCAGTCCTGGAGTATTTATCTCCAAGAAATGAAAAATTATGTCCAAGAAAATCCTCCATAATTGTTCATAGCAATCTTTTACATCATAGCCAAAAATTGGAAAAAAAAACTAGCATGTCCCTCAAAATCAAAGGGCTTAAACTAAGTGTGATATTTCCATACCATGAAATGACAAAGAAATACCACGTAGCAATAAAAATAAATATCAGATTAGTGCATACAGCAACTTGGGTGATTCATTTTTTCACTGAGTGAAAAAAAATGTCAATTTCAACAGATTCATTTTATATATATTCTTGAGAAGAGGAAGTTGTCTAGACAGAGAACAGATTATAGATTGTCAAGGGTTAGAGAAGATGGAAGAAAAGAGTATGAATGTGACTGTAAAGGGAGGTTTTGATGATGATGCAATAATTCTATTTGTTGATTGCAGGATTGATTGCATACATGTAGGCATGTGATACGGATGGCATAAAACACTGTATACTCCCAATGCACACATGTCAGATTGCTGGATTTGATGTTACACTATGATTATGTAAGAAGTAACCATCCTAGAACACTGGGTGAAGGGCACACCAGACCTCTGTAATCACAAGGAAACTGAGCCAGACCCGTAAAACAATGGCATCAGATAGGAGAGTAGTTTGTGGTAACAGGAAGCTTGCTAACCACCAGTCTGTGAATCTGAACCCCAGCTTATTATGTCACTCAATAAGTATTTATTGATTTCTTAAAATGTCCCAGACACTGTTTTTTTTTTTTTTTAACTTATTTATGCATGTAAGAACTGGGATGCAGGCCAGAAGTGTGGTAGGTGAGAAGATTCACCAGAGAAGAGTAGTGAGCAGAATAGGCACATCTACTGAAATATTCTGCCGAGGGGAGCAGCAGCAGGGTGAGACAGGAAAGGTCTGCTGTGCCATGTGGGTCAGCTCCCTGGCAGGGGACCGAATTCTTTTTTTATTTTATTTTTATATATTTTTTACATACATCATTCTTAATTTTTTTCAGTTTTTATGAATTTGTTGATATTTATCTTTTTTAATTAATATTTTATTTTATATAGTTCTTGCATCATTTTTCATTTTTGCACAATGTATGCATTTTCATTTTGGTTATATTCCCCATACAATTGCACCCCCCCTTATTTTGACCCTAGTCCTTCTTCTCCCCTTCCCTCCACCCCCCTCACTGTAGTGTGTTTCTGGTTTATAGTTGCTAGTCAATTTTGATTTTTATTTTGTATTAATTGGTCTTTTTTCTGGTCCCTTATTTAGGTTAGATTTTCTAAATTCCTGCTATGAGTGAGACCATCCGGTATTTTTCTTTTTCTTTCTGACTTATTTCCCCATTCTCAATTTTTTTACAATGTATGCT